TACTATACGTATAAAATAATCTAACAATTACAATAATAGTCTATCGTAATAAAAATATACAACAATTACAATAATAGTCTATACGATAAAAATAATCAACAATTACAATAATAGTCTATCGATAAAAATATCAACAATTACAATAATAGTCTGTCGATAAAAATATCAACAATTACAATAATAGTCTATCGATAAAAATATCAACAATTACAATAATAGTCTATCGATAAAAATATCAACAATTACAATAATAGTCTATCGATAAAAATATCAACAATTACAATAATAGTCTGTCGATAAAAATATCAACAATTTTTTGTAATATCTATACAGTCAATTCGTCATAGATCGTTTTTAACATATTTCGGAAGTATTAATCACATCGTTTAATTATATGATACTAATGACTCAGTTGGATCCAAAATAGTAATTAAAACAATAGGACACGAAATTCCAACAGTTGACTTAACCGTCAACACTAGAGGTGTAAGGGTTTCTTGAATTCTCTTCGTGCCCTAGGACAGTATTATCAATGTTGTTAGGTTTTCACATATTATTTGACGTATGAATGTAAAAACCATAAATGTACCATCCAAAGCTGTTTGTATATCAAATCAAATGACAATCTATTAAAGTAATATTCAGTCTTCGCAGCAAGTTTTATTTATGTAAATATTTTTGTAATTTATTAAATTACCATATTTCATCAAAAACTGTGTTTTGAACCTAGCGGAAAAAAGAGATATTATTTTATCATCAGAATTTTATTGAATAAAAGTATAAAACATCCATTATGAGTTTTTCTTTTAGAAGTACATGTGTATATAGAGACCGCTATTGTGAAATATGTGTATTAATAAGTTTATAACTTCATTCCGTATCATTATACTTGCTTCAGGTAATATATAAATCTAAAAGACGTGAGTTTTTTCGAAGATACACTAAATAATTCAGGTGAACAAATAAAAAAACATTAAATATAAAGCCTTAAGGTACAAAAAGTTTCTAACTGTAATAAATATTCCCCAAAATTCAAATTGGTTTTATCTAAGTATATAAAGTAATTAAAATTAATTCTGAAAATTACGTTTCATTGTATGTTTTTCCCATGCTATGCCTCTCAGTAAAGTCATATTTGAATTCATTTCATATTATATCCTCTTAAATGATCCAAAAATACTTCAAATCAGATATGTGTAAAATAGTATTTCAGACCAATTTTTTTTATTTGTTCAAGTTGTCTAACCCAGCTAGTGTGATCCGAATTGAATGAAAAGCCTCAGGGCAGTGAAACATGATACACAAAAGATAGACCTGTGTCTAAAATCTGCAAAGGATTAGATAAAACTATTTTGTTACAGATAAAATAATTCTAGTGAAAAAGATATCAGGTGTTTTATACAACATAACTGAACAACTGATTGTTTGTTTTCACATCCTAAAGGCGATGAGCGAGCTAACGAACAAATTCATCTGACTGTCCTGCATACAATGTACTTGCGTGACCACAACCGTTTAGCTACCGAACTTTCTCGACTGAACCCGCATTGGGACGACAATAAGATATATCACGAGACACGGCACATCATGGCGGCCGCCTTGCAACACATCACTTACTATGAGTTTTTACCCATGGTTCTCGGACAAGACATGATGTCGCGATACAATTTGACTCTAAAAACTCACGTAAGCCTTTTTTTCCATTTTCACAGGTAGTTTGCTTTAAGTTGTTTAACCAAGACAGCTAATATTAACTATGGCTTCTTTGTCATCATCTCAAGTCAGGTTCCTTCTTAATTTATTTCTAATGTGGCACATTATTTTATTTTATAAGCCATGTTTAGATTTGTGAAAATATATCAAATGTAATGGGGATATTTTTTTCGTATTATTATGAAAGAGTAATATTATTCGTACATCAAAAATGTGATTAAGTTATCTAACATTGTTGAATTTGTTAATAGGTGTCAAGTAACATTGTGCTGTTGCTAAAAACAAAAAAAAAAGTTTCATTTTTTTATGTATTACATCTAGGGCTATTGGAACGGTTACGACCCTGATGTGCACATGGGAATGTCCAATAGTTTCCAGTCTGCCGCTTTCCGATTTGGACACACTTTTATCCAGGGTATGATTCGGAGATACAACAAGTTCCATGAATTTGTGGGTAAGTATTAAGGTTACGTCATAGTGTGTGTGTGTGTGTTTCGTTATGGTTAGTGAAATAAACAAAATAGTTTCAAGGAACTAAGGTTTCATGTTAAATTGTAGTTGTGTAATAAACGAATAGTAATCTTAGCAAACCTAGGTTGTTCCAAAACTGCAACATTTTTCCCATTCTCACCAGGTGAGGATCCTCTTCGTACTCTTTTACGTCAACCTTATATCCTCTACGAACCTGGTAAGATTGATGAGCTTATTGGTGGTCTTATCAACACTCCGGCTCAAACTTATGATCCTTTTATAAGTCAGGAGGTAGGATAGTCTCTGATTTACTTACATATAATCTTACTCTTAGTTTCATAATAGCAATTTTTCGTTCTTGTAACATTATATAGATGTTCTTCTATGACATCATGTAATTTATACCAATCCTCAAACAATGAAGCGTTTTATTTCAGAACGAATGATTGGATAGCAATTGAAATTATGAAGTATGTAAAAAAGTTTAACACTTTGGACTTGATCAAGACCGTAACTGGAGTCTAAATTCAGACTAGGCTCAGGGTCTGGGGTCCACCTGAGGCCATAAGAGAGTCCAGAGCTAAGCCCAGGTGGGGGAACAGATGGACAAATTCCTATGATAAAAATTATTTTAAATATAGTATCAAATTTTACGTATAGACGTTTTGGAAAACCTTTCCAAAGAAAATTATTTATTTCATTATTGTAAATAAGACATAATATAAAATACCTAAGGCTATGCTCGGCAAAGTTTCAGATGAGATATTTGTCGTTTGGTAGTAAATTAAGATTGTTCTGAAGATGGGATGTGATTGGAATCAGGATTTTGATAACGTGGCAAATGCTTTAGCTGACTTTATGAACATTTTATCGTTCGTTTTAGACCTGTTCAGTTTTGTTTTTAAGTTCTGTAGATGACGAATTTTTTTATAATGTTTAATCAAGAAAACCAGAATTTTTCATATGATGACTAATCGTTTCGTAATTTAATAATAGTCTTTTAGCATTTCTAATATTTCCTCCAATCTATACCCATTTCTACAAAGACTTTTATTTCATTATAAAAACAAAAACTTTATGATATTCTTAAGTGTAACCAATTGTCTAATTCTGAAATGGAAAATTAAAATAATTTCATGTAATTGCACTTAAAAAATCCGTTATTATATGTAAAAAAGAAACTTTTATGTTGTATACGTATCAATAAGACCTTTCGCAGGGTTTCAATACCCGTGGTGGGCAGAGCACAGATAGCCCATTGTGTAGCTTTGTGCTTAACTACAAACAAACAAACCTTTCGTAGGTAACCAACCACCTGTTTCAAGTGCCACCTATGCCCTTTGGAATGGACTTAGTTTCCTTCAACTTGATGCGAGGACGAGAGACGGGAGTGCCTGGCTATAACTTTTTCCGAGAATGGTGTGGCTTGGGACGAGCCCAAAGTTTCGAAGAGCTAGAAAATCTAATGAACAACGGCACTGCTCTAAAGTTTGCGCAGTTGTACAAGTAAGTGGATGTTTCAAGTATATATCAGAACCAGCTTTCACTTTGATATAAGTAAGTGGGTGTTTCAAGTATATATCAGAACCAGCCCTCACTTTGATACAAGTAAGTGGGTGTTTCAAGTATATATCAGAACCAGCCCTCACTTTGATACAAGTAAGTGGATGTTTCAAGTATATATCAGAACCAGCTTTCACTTTGATACAAGTAAGTGGATGTTTCAAGTATATATCAGAACCAGCTTTCACTCTGATATAAGTAAGTAGGTGTTTCAAGTATATATCAGAACCAGCCCTCACTTTGATACAAGTAAGTGGGTGTTTCAAGTATATATATATCAGAACCAGCTTTCACTTTGATATAAGTAAGTGGGTGTTTCAAGTATATATCAGAACCAGCTTTCACTTTGATATAAGTAAGTGGGTGTTTCAAGTATATATCAGAACCAACTTTCACTTTAATACAAGTGGGTGTTTCAAGTATATATATCAGAACCAGCTTTCACTTTGATATAAGTAAGTGGGTGTTTCAAGTATATATCAGAACCAGCTTTCACTTTGATATAAGTAAGTAGGTGTTTCAAGTATATATCAGAACCAACTTTCACTTTGATACAAGTAAGTGGGTGTTTCAAGTATATATCAGAACCAGCTTTCACTTTGATACAAGTAAGTAGGTGTTTCAAGTATATATCAGAACCAACTTTCACTTTGATACAAGTAAGTGGGTGTTTCAAGTATATATATATATATCAGAACCAGCTTTCACTTTGATACAAGTGGGTGTTTCAAGTATATATATCAGAACCAGCTTTCACTTTGATACAAGTAAGTGGGTGTTTCAAGTATATATCAGAACCAGCTTTCACTTTGATACAAGTAAGTGGGTGTTTCAAGTATATATATCAGAACCAGCTTTCACTTTGATACAAGTAAGTGGGTGTTTCAAGTATATATCAGAACCAGCTTTCACTTTGATACAAGTAAGTGGGTGTTTCAAGTATATATCAGAACCAGCCCTCACTTTGATACAAGTAAGTGGGTGTTGCAAGTATATATCAGAACCAGCCCTCACTTTGATACAAATAAGTGGGTGTTTCAAGTA